CGTGAAACCAGGCACTTTCCCGTAGTAGAAAGCAAGGCTACGGCGGGAAAGCCGTACCGGTTCGCGCGTCATGACGTCACCGGTAGTGATCTTCACTACCTGCCGCCGTACTACGGCGTAGCCGTACCATATCGTAAAGTCCCTATTCACTGAGTGCAGTGGCTGTCGCTCGTCTACGAAATGGCGACGTTTTTTCGTTTTCCAGACGTTTTGGAGGAAAGTTAAGATGCAAATGGATAATTAAATCCCTGAGAAGACTGAAAGAAGGCCATTAAAGGTGCTTTGACTTGGGAAACTTGAAATTATTGAAGAAACGAGTGCGTGCGCGTACACAATTGCAAATTTTGCTAACAACAATAGACCAATTCAGCCTAAAACAAGAGACCTCAGTGCGAGGCTCTGGGGAATAACTACAGAGTATCCCCCAGAGCCTTGAGTTGAGGTCTATTGTTTTAGGGTGAATTTTAATTGGTCTATGCAGTTCGTGCGATTTTGTTAAAGCATGAATTTCAATAAGTATACGTAGAAAAATAATTGGGAACCGTAATTTGCGTTTATTTCAGTTAGAATTCTACTAAAACAATGAGATTATTCGCTCTCGATTTCTTTGAGGTGATAGTTGATTCGGCCTTGCCTTCGGCCTCATCAACTACCACGTCATAGAATTCTCGAGCTCATAACTTAATTGTTAAGTAGGAAAAAAATAAAGTAATTTCGACAAACATTTTGCAATACTTGTTTATATAAACAGGATGTAAACGAAATAGACAAGCAAAGTCGGCAATTTTTCCCTATGTATTACTCCCCGAATTCACTATTAATTTCTCGTTACTTCCAGAACCTTTACGGGCTATTGAATTCGTGATGAAAAACGCTAAATACGCAAGGTTTCGAAAGTTGCAACCCCAGCCTCTCCGAAACTGACGGTTTTTCATTGCTTATATGGTTCACTGTTGCTTCATCTGACAGCGAAAATGTTACTAACCATACTTGGTATTCAAAGGCGGGGGTGAGATGCTTGTCGTCTCTTTTTTTGCGAAGCACCCGCAGAACTTTCAAAACACTGTCATACTGCAATAATAGTTTGAATCGATCTGTCATGAAATCTGTAAATGTATGAAAGTATTTGATAACAGTCTCTGACGCACACACTACAGGTCTTATTTTTTTCTCTGTTTTCGAATGGAGTCTTTAGGTGTCAAATAAAGCTTTAGCCACGCCTAGATTGAGGAGGGAGGGGAAGGTGGTTTATCAAAATTTTCCAACCATCAACCCAACCCCTTTAAATATGGGAACTTCCTTTCCTTTCCACACCCCCCTCGAGCGCAGGATTGATGCGTCAGTGATGGTGTGAATAGACCCTTAATTCTCTATTTTCCAATTGCCCATAATTCACCCTGTTTACCTCCCAAATTTTGCATAAACTATTGTTGTGAAATGCTCTTGGGAGGTCTGCATATTTCCAAGAGCATTTCACAACAATAGTTTATGCAAAATTTGGGGGGCAAACAGAGTGGATTATGGGCAATTGGAAAACAGAGAATAGCATGTTTGGTCTGCCAAAATAAAGCCCAAAAAAATAATAATCAAACTAATTACTAGAAAACTCCCCTTTAAATTTATTTTCAAATCTTCAACACTACAGTTATTCTACCAAAGGAATACCATCCTTTGGTTTAATACCATCCATTAAAGTGACCCTGATTCGTATTGATTTCCGACACTGTTAATTGATGTCTTGGTTGTGTCACTGTTGACTTTTTTTATAATCAATGAATATGCACCTACTGATATGCCATATTTAAAAAAAAACTATACTATGACGTATTTACAGGAAGTGACCCTTTTAAGCTTGCCCACATAGGAGAGCTCAAAGAATTATTAACTGTTAACCGCATTGAAAGGGAAAAAGGCCTAGTGCTAAGAAAGAAATTGAATGTGTTCACAATGTAATTCGTTACAATCGTTCCAAATCGAACTGTCTGTTGTCCTTTATGGTTTTACCATCGGGTCTCGTGTTTTCTAGCTTCAAAAAAAGATCTTCAAGGTTTGAATTTTCCTACATTGCTAAAACGTTTGGAAGATTTCGTGTGACGTGGTCAGTCAAAAGTTTCTAAGGAGTTGGGCTTTTTTATTGTAGGGATTAGGAGAACGCGCAAATAGTTCTAGGTCTGCTTCTTATTGTTCAAAGAGAAAACACCACGATTTCGATAACTGACTACAGCTGGTTGTACGAAATATTTTGAAACAATCGTGGAGCTCAAGTAACGTAAACCGAATAACATGTAACTACCATACTTTCTACTCGGGGAGCTGGGGGAGGGGGGGATAAAGCTCGAGCGACGCCCCAGTTTTGACTCTTTTAGGGGTTTAATTCCAATTTTCCGACGAATATCCTCGACCTTTTCATCATGGAAGTCATCCTGGGACTTTCCACCGTCAATTGTCAACATTCAGCTCAGCTCAGGGATGGACCATGAAGGCGAGTAGGAACGGTTAAGTAATTTTTCAGGCCGATTATTTTAAGGGGACCAAATTCTTTGCAAGATTCTGTTTTGCCTCGTTTCGCTTTGCACAAGTTTATTGATGTGCCAGAGTTTTGCAGCTCATTTCATTTTCCTTTAGTTTCCACTGGTACTCAGTTCCCCGCCCAGCCAGCTGAACTTAGGAGACTGGATTTATCTTGTACACCAGTAGGATTTCGTCACACAACGCTTCCGTGACAGAAAGAAATGTTCCGGGACGACTCTAGCTACCATTCTAGTTGTGTTTCATCTGTTTTAGAGTCATTGGTAACGTTACAGAATCTTTGTATTTCCCTCTTAACCTCGCCGAAGTTACTCACCGAGTAACACATTTATAGAAAAAAAAACCAAGTTATTTAATTAATTGAGCCTTTACCAAATATTTTACACGCGCTATTGAGATGCATAAAAAAATTCCAACTCGTTAACTACCCGTTTTTAACTTGTTCTTCTTGGTTTTAAGGTATTCTATATAAGACCGTCCCGCACCCCTTCTTCCTAAAGTTCGCAGGTAATTATTGTAACTATTGTATTGTAACGGATTACGATATGCACTGGCTTGTCTCCAACCGGCTATTTGTTGATATCCCAGCTGGTCGTTAGCTTGTGGTACTGCAGGGTTCACTTGAGCAATATAACCTCGAGGATTTCCAGGCGCCACATAGTGATAATAATTGGCTATTTGATTCTGGTGGTATTCCGCAGGTACAAAGTTACTGTGCAGGGATTGTAAAGGGGAGTACATAGCTTCTTGAGCACTAAGCTGTGCTAGATTAGGTTGCTGTTCATTTATTGTGTTCTGTGTTTGACCAGTCTGTTTATTGTTCGCTATAAATGAGTTGCTTGGTTGTTTGGGGGCTTCATGTAATGGTACTACTGATTGGGCAGCAAGTGTCAAGACGGCCGAGTTTGAAGCTGGAGAGGTTGTGGACATGTAGGTTACCACTTGAGGTGATATGTATTTAACGGGTGCTGTAGATGGAGCTGGAGGCGGAGGCGGAGGCGGAGGCGAAGGAGGAGAAGCAAATGTGTAAGTCGGTCCACTGGGCACTTGATGAAACTGAGGAGGAGGCGCCGAGGAAACGGGCACTGGAACCGAGTCGCGTGGTTTGTCTGGGTGTTCAATAGGTTGATGGTTGGGTTTTTCTTTGGTTCCGTGTAAAATGAGCTGCCATTCGGTTAGCGTGCCGTGATTGGGTCTATTATCACCGAGGTCCTTTATCTCTATAGTCCAGGTCCCTCTAGGATCCTCGCCCCATGAATGCGTTGTCATGAAGGGCCACTTTGTGAAGCCCTCGTCGGAGAGATCCTCTTTTCTAGGGGACAGTAAGCAGGATTTGGTTCCCATTGGGGATGTCAGGTACACGACAAGGTCCCCGCGCCTTGTGTAATCCAAACTTAGCAGGATCTGTACGTGTTCTAGGTAACGAATCTCGGCTCCAGTTCCTGTGCAGCCATTAGAATGCATTGTTATCTTTAAAGGCTCGTTAAATTTGATGGGCCTGTCGAGAGAAGTCAGTTTTTGAATGTAAATCAGTGGTTTTCTGGTAACACCTGCTTTTAAATTTACTGCTCTTTTCACACTGACTACCGTTATGAAAACAAAATGGTGCTTTTTGGTGTCAGTTGTCTGATAGTTCTCGCTGGTTCGTTCGTTAGCGTTCGTTCGTTTGTTCGGGGTTTGTTCGTTACCGTACTGTCGATTGTTCGTTCGTCCGGCGCCTGTTTGGTTCATATGCTCGTTCAGTCATCAATCAATCCTTATGCCTTTCATCAAGTGCATTAGTGAAGAGATTAATTATTTATGTATTTAATTGTCATTCCCTAACTTACTTGCGATCCTGGTTTATTTGTCCTCGGCAAATGGTCTTTTCAGGAACAGTTTTAAACGTAGTAGGTTTGGCTAGTTCAACTATCTTTTCCGCAACTAACAGACCGAACCCGAACTTTCTATTGACATGCAGTCCGACTCCATTTGGACTCCAATCCTGATCGTTTTTAAGAGGTTCCCAGTTTGATGTCCACACAACAATATGCTGGATGTCACGCCATGTAAGACGAGGGCTGTTCAAAACATAAATCAAAGGAAAGGATTGCTAGTTGTAAGAAACTTAAGCATGTTAGAGTCGAGAGTGATTTTGCGTTAGCCCTAGTTTTACGCGTATGTCATGTGTGTAACGTTGTGTGATTGGTTGTTTTCTCAATCAATCAGAGGCGCATAAAAACCAGTCCTAGTAAATCTTATGCGCGTTTTATCGGTTGTATATTTTTGTTTAGAGTTCTCGGATTGTCCATCACCTGATCACGTGTCTTGCGTTTGTGCAAGGCATCTCAGACATTTTATTAGTTATCCTTACTTGACCTCCAGTGCAAGAGCTATAATCCCAGCAGCCAATGGGGCAGAAGCAGAAGTTCCCGTATGTCTTTCAGTGCATTCGTTATGTAAGTCGGTTGTGACCTGAGAAAGCAAATCAAGGTAATTAAGTGCAGTTTTGGGTAGGATATAGTGTTGGGTTTTTAAAAAGGCAAAAAATGTGGGTTTAATTTTACCATTTACGTTGATTTTATAGCTGTGTATTCCTATATCCTTTTTGTCATTCTCGGAAATACACACTGAATCATGCTCCTAGCCAACCTAGGTGTGGGGGGACGCCTCCCATTAGGGATAACACACACGTAGTTTCTAAACAGTGCAGTTGTGAGAAGTCTAACTGAATTAGCTGAAAAAAGGTGGACACTGAGTAGAAATATTTTCCCTACTTACAATTCTTTTCTCTCCGTGTGCTCCGCTACTGAATGTAGTGGCCAGAGTAGAGGAACAGCTCTCTGAGTACCAAGGTGACTCGCCATGATCGGAGGCTGAACTGATTGATAGAGTGTAGATACTGTCTGTGTATCCATCACAGTTACAACTGTCCTCATGCCTCCCGCCATTTCCTGACGCCCAGACGAAGATCGAACCCAGTCCACCGCGACCCTATGTAACGAAACAACCGAAAAGTGTTTACGTCTTTGTTTTTTCTGCTACTCCTGAAATAGCGTTCTCTCTCGACAAGCTCCGAACGTCTCTCTTCGTGCGTAATTTGCGGTCACCTTGAGTTGTTTTTCACAATTTCAAGGTTTTTTCACATTAACAAAAACGAGCTTATTTTATATTGGAATAAGAACGTTCTCTGGTTAAAAATATATTAAAAACATAAGCTTTCGGCTATCAGTCTATAGCCTTTAACGAATAAAAAATGTGGCGCGCAAGCGAAAATATATACGAATGGGGTGCGAGAAATTGAGAATAAAAAACAAGCGTGAAAAAAGCAAGAAGATAAAAATGTAAATGAGGCCTGATTACGGCCTGGTCCCCGTCCCTTACTCGTTAGCTGAGTTTTCAATAACCCTAAGTGTGTGTTGCCTTACTACGTGCAATATGAGCTAATATGGCACATTACGTCTTTTCTAAATACCTTTGTGATTCCATTTTCAAACGCAGCAGCTGCCAGAGTCCCAGGTCCCTCCACAGTCGCGCCGTCGTCACTAGGCCCCCAGCTTGCGGAGTAGATGTCAATAAACTGGGGATTAAGACTAAGCGAGGCAGCTTCCACTTTGTCAGTCACTCGGCCGTCAAGCATGCGCACACCTATACAAATACATTTAAATTATTAGAAACTACGTCTCGAAAACACCCAATCTTAGACTATCATCTCGATAAGCGTCGTCACATGTAGCCATTGGTGATTGCTTAGGTAATGGGAGTTCACAGCATCGTCATTCTGCCGGTGTAAACCAGATGATAATTTTACTGTCAATCAAGGGTAGTACTAATGGTTCGATAAATGATAGATTTTCACAAAGCCTTACACGATTGGAGTATTCGGGTTTGGAGCTTCGCAGACATGTTTGTCAATCCGGGATAAGCCTTGTGGGTAAGTCTAGGTACTAGATCAGTCAACGATTTTCTGAAGACACTCTTTGATGCACAGCAGTTTCTTTGGTATGCCACAAAGGAGTGCCAAAGACTATCAAGAGTATCACGAACTGTTAAACCTCGATAAACCGGTGACTATAGAATTTGACGTAGACTTTGCCATGGGATCAACATTTCACGCGTCGCTCTTGCTGGTCACGTGGGCACTGTGTAACCAACCGAGAGACGCCTAATGATAGAATGTGTTACCTCCTATCTTAGCATTGTATGCCACACCCACTCCACATATGGTATTGTTTGCTTGAGCCGCAACCTCTCCTGCACAGCGGGTACCGTGTCTACAACAGAACAAGGACAACAGTCACGGTACGAAACCGCCCGTAATTGCTGTCTGGGAATTATGACAGCAAATTAATGAGATTATGACAAATCTTATGCAACTGTTCCTTCGTTCCTTCAGTTGTCGAAGAAAGAGCTTTTAGAAAAAG